CTTCCTATCCGTGAGGAGACACTATGTGTTTAGGATTTGGAAATGAATTTTGAAGGATCCTTGTGTAGTCTCTGTCTTAGAACTTGACCGATACTTGAACGTGTTCGGTTTTCATAACCGTAACCGACGAAGCCGTGATCCGATTCTGGTGGCTGCGACGCCTGACCGATAATCGCGTCAGATATTTCGGAATCCATTAAGATCATTATCGGGAGCACCTTATAATTTTAATTGCCCACCACCAATTCTCGCTTTGTTCCCAGCTTCGATAATTACCTCAGCGAGAAGTCTCCTTTTCTCTTTGACTAATTCAGATATTCAGATATAAATTATGACATCCTCACCTTTCAACCGATTATTCATTTATCATTATTAAGGAAGTATGGGCTATATATTTAAACAATCCTAGCATGTTGAATTTGTTATTATAGATTCCTATTACTATTAAAAATAAATGCATAAAATCCGAAGTTTAATTACTGCTCGTTTCTTCTGTCGATTATGGAAGATATTATTTGATAGTTTCCATTGGAATTTTCGTTCCAAAGCGTAAGATCGGATCAGGAAGGGAAAAAGTTTGTGGAGGATAGAAACTGTTTGTTGAAAGTCTGTCACCGAGTAACGATAGGCCGTATCTTTAATTTGGTCTTCGGTTTAGAACGGTTTCTGCTCGATCGGAGAGCGAGACTTGCTCGTTCCTTGAAATTCGCCGGCTTACGATAATCGTCTTTTGAAAGAAGTTCGAGCCCCGGTGCCGTTCCGCGTTATCGAGCTGTTCGTTATTATCTATCGAAGAGGAAACTTCTCTCGAGCAGGAACTACCACCAGCTTTTTTATATATTTTCTCCCCCTCCCGCTGTGTTACGTCGCCGATCCACGGGGAAATTATTCTTCCGTTTTATGCGTCACGAATGCCTCAGTGAGCTATTCCCGCGGACCGGGTAAATTTATCGCGGCACGTACAGTCTTTGTCACGAAACGCGTTTAACCGTATCCATGTGCTACACAAAATCCATAAGCCGAGTGCGTGCCTCGCTTTTTTACAAAGACAATTATTCCAGGATTATTATTCATTTCCAAATGATGGACGTTCCATTGATATTCATTTTATCTCGACACATTATTTCGAGGCTTTCGAGACTTTAAAAGATAACAGCTATACTTCAGCCCCTAATCGAAGTATACGGACTGTACAGCTAGTAACAACGAAATTGAGCCAGCTATGTGCATGTGTTAGTTTCCCTTAGGGGGGCACAATTCAAAACGAGTAATAAGTATACATCTTATTTTTTCGATGCTTGATCTGACATCGGTACTGTTGGATTTTATTATAATTTTGACGCGTCAAAATAAAAAGAATTTTAATGTAGGTGCTGGTAATGTGCGTACGTTAACATTATTTTTATTTTGACGCATCAAAATTATGTTAAAATCCAACAATATCAATGCGAGATCGAGCATCGAAAAAATAAGATGTTGACTTATTACTCGTTTTAAATTTTGTCCTCCTAGAGGAGACTAACACATAGCTGGCTCAGTTTCACTATTACTAGCTGTATATGGGCTAGTCTGTATTTAAATACCCTGGAGAGGATTTAAAGAATTACCGTTCTGAATGGAGTTGGAGAGCCAGTATCCGGGCTTCCTGTAGATGTCCGGTATCCGGAAATTGTACTCAAGGTTGCCCGCTTCCTCGGTCCATAGCAGCCTCAGCGAGGAGAAGAACTTGGACGAGTTCTCGACCGCTCTCAGCATCACGATCGGGCAAGAGTCGACCACGTACATACCGCTGACCGGTTTCAATGGGTCGACTTTGTGCTCGAGCACCTCCACCACGTACCACTTGCCCATTATCTGAAATCAATACCAACGCAAATGGATTTATTACGTTCGCGTGTTAACGCAAACGAGCACTAACGCGTTCTGATCGGCAAAGCCGGTTCCGACGCAAAGCCTCGGGCTAGATTTAGGAAACGCTGTACCCCTCGGCTGCCTACTCGCCGTTGCCCGTTTCGATCCACGGAATTCCCGAAGATTACACCTGTTTCAATTTGCTCCAAAGGGATGCCGAAGGATTTGCCAGTTCCCTTCGTACAAACCTTTTTGTAAAACAGCCCGGATTTCAATCGATAAACCGCGGGTTTTAATTCGTACACCTCTTAAGAATACCAAAAGCTGAGTGAACATTAAAATGTTTAAACGATCAGAGAAATTCGTATTTAAAACGTTTCATTTTGTATAAAAATTACCGATTGGAAATGTAATTAACCATCTGAATAAATGGTGAAAAAAAAAAGAAGGAAATGAAGTGCGATCACGATATCTGGAATCGATTCGACGGGAGAGAAAATTCCGCGAGGTTTGAATGAAACGGCGCTATGATTGGAATACTCGATTCCATACCGGCGTGGCGGTCGCTTCATTCATTAAAACGAGGCTCGGTGACGCCGCGGCGCCGAACCGACGCTCCAACTTGCCGGGAATCGCGGTAAATGAGATTCCACGGCTCGGCTAGCGTTCGCAAGACTTTTAATTACTCCCGCGGGCCAGGCTTTGTCTGTTTCGCCTGCTGATTATGCATGTCACCGCGGCGTGAAACCGACACTAGGATCTGTCGTCGAAAGTCGATCGTAACGATTCCGGACGGCATCGCCGGGTTCAGAGGATTCATCCAGGCTCGAAACATTTGACAATGTTTATTCGAAATTACATTGGCAGAAATAATAATTCAGTGACCGCGAGAGCCAGTTAAAACCGGAATGTTTGCTACAAACGCGACTTTAATTGTTATTAATCGAAATACTTTGGCTGGAAATATACGAAAATCGAGAAACGATTGTTTTATACGCGACAAAGGGATGTTTAATTTTATTCCGTTTTGCTCGGTCCGTTTCGCAAACAGAAGTGGAAACAAATTTCGCTGGGGAGCAACTCGATTCGAACCGATCAATATTATTTCTCGACGCTTAATCACTGCCGGATGGTCGGCCGTAATAAATTGCCTCTAATTTGGTTTAAGCTCCGGCCAGAATTATCTGTAGCTAGGCCAAAGTCGGTGGATTATCTCGCCGACCGAACGATCTTCCGCAGTTCCCAGCGATATACCCCGTTTTCCTTTGCGGCATTTCCATCTGCGAATCGCCATTAATCGTTCGCGATTGTTCAAAGGGAGCTCTCGCTCCGATCTCTTTCTTTTTCCCTCCGTATAATCGCATCGGGGACGATCAACCGGATTATCACTGCACTTCCCCAAGTTAGCAATTTTTAAAGAGATTGATTCGAGTCCGCGGATGAAATTAATTTTGGCAAGGAATATTAGGAAGCATTCTTTAGCAGTGAGTCTATAAGACGTTATTAAGACTGGACGGTCAGAGAGAAATATCATTTTTAATTATTATTGTAAAGCCAGACAAAAGTATATTTAAAAGTCCATTTATATCGAGGAATAAAAGTCGTAGTAGTATAAGTCAAGTTTTAAAATGGCTGATATTAATTTATTAATATTCTCAAAGTAGAAAATATAACAGTAATTAAATTGGTAATGAATTGACCTAATATGTCTATTCTTAGGTATGGGCTTTATTTCTATTGTCCTAAACAACTTCTATGATTAAATAAGTAAATCCTTAGTAAGTCAGGTTAGCAAAAAATGAAGAATACCAAACAGGGGGATGAGTTTAAAAAAAATGAGATCAGATTGAAAAGTTTTAATTCTTGACATAACGAATTTAAAAACGTTTTGATAGAATTAAAAAAAATTGTACATATGATGTATGTATTTATTTAATTTTTCAATTAAATAAGAAAAGTGTTTTTTTTTTTTTTTTTTAATATAAATTCTACTTATAAATCCTATATCAATTCTTCCTCGTATTTAAATGACCATTTATTACGTGTCCTTTGAGTAACTCTGATTGGAAAACGCAAGCGGCTTATTAAACGAAGCCATTCGCGTTAATGGGACTGGGGAGCCGTTAGTAAAGACCACTCGCGGTAAATGCGGCTCGACACTTTTATGGACCTCCGATTTCACCCGGTTTAATATGTTTTTAAATCGAGCGTGATACATATTCACTGGTTTAGAAGCGAAATCCCCGATAAGCCGGTCGTATTAATTTTAATCGACGACAGGTCCGCGCCGTCTTGCGCTTTTTGACGAAATTAATTTCAAACATCGTCGATAAATTAAAACCGATTCATTAAAAATCCGACTCGTAAATCCCCCGTAGAAACGGATAACGCGAGACCGACGTAATTACGCGCGCAGCTTCCAAAACCGAGAGATTCATTTTAAAACCAGGCGCTTTTTCTAAATGCAAACTACCAAGTCGACGATCCAATATTCCGATGAATCCAATTCGCTAGCCAATATTTTTATAGAAAATCATTTTATTAGACTTAAACCACGTTAGTATTAATAAACTTATTTTTAGAATATAGAAACGTTTGAAATATCAAACGTGCAATTCCTGTGTTACTCTAAGCATCGATCCAAGATTCACTTGCGAATTAAAATATTTCTCAAGCTACTGACGATCAATAAATATTAAAAACAGCGGAATCTTGAAAATCGGTTTAACCGAATTTTCCTTCAGTTCCACATAAGAGCGACACTCCCCGACTGGAGCGCGTGCCGGAGATCGTCGGTGAAAAACGACGCGGCGTGAATAAAGGACCACGAAATAATTAAAATAACAAATGTCGGGGACCGGTGGATTCAAGCGTGAAAACGGTCGACACGGGAGAACCCGCGAACACATGGCCGACGATTTATTAAACTGACGCGACATCGCGGCCTGATGCTGCGCCATTCGTTTCGGCCCGGACCCGGAATTGCCACGAAAAACGTACTTTAAACCGGAGTTCATAGCCGGCTGTAATTGCATTACGCCGGTTTTATGAAACCGTGACTGAACATTTTCGAGAGGCCAGGAGGCCCTTCGCCGTCGCGGTATTTCCCAACAACCGCGACGACGCGTATTCATTTTTCAACGATAATTGCCCGCTATCTCGTGCGCTACGAGCTTATATTAAGGCGGGTATCTGTTTCTATCGCAGTGCGTCACACGACCGTCGCGCATCCATTATAAGCTACCGGACGTTGCATATCATTTTAAAATATACATAAAACTATGAATAAAAAATTATCAGCTTTTGATTAGTTTTATTCGTTCGGCATGGAATTTATAATTTCTGTAGATTCCATTGTCATGCAAATGTATAAAGTCCTTAGTGCATTAATTAAGTTTCAAAGCTCTCACGAGGACTAATAATCTTAGAATTGAGTCGCGTAGAATAGATACTGAGAAAATAAATGATGAGAACTGGATTATTAAAATTATTATTATTAAAAACGACATGAATCTGACAGACGAATTATTTTCGGTCGGATCGTGATTAAATGGCGGGTCGTGAGGGCACGGTTCACCTGACGTGAAAATTAATCAGGCTAATTCGACTTGGTATCAATTTAATATGATTCTGGCTAGGCAAACCAGCGGAAACGCGTACCGGTTTTGTTTGGCTGGATCGCCGCCGCCGCCGCCGCCGCCGCGGGCCGGCATCGTTCGCGGGACACATGTAATTGCGCGTTTGAACCGTCGGATTAATCAAATCTGGCTCGCAGTCACGTTTCGATATTTTCCGACCGATTAGACGCTATCAATTGGCCCACTCGCGATCTGCCCGCGCCGTGCCCACGGCAAATTTTAATTGCCCGTTAACTCGTCTACCCACCCACGATTGACGACTCCCGACAGATATCTTTTTATTATTTCCACATGTCCTCTAACATATTTCCAATCGAAGCAAAATACCATTTAAAATAACCACATCAACAATTTCTGAAATTAATGTTGCCAAAAGATTAAACCTCAAAGCTTGCATGAAATCAAAGAGGAAGTCAACGAACCAAATTCTGTCCTCAAATTTTATAGAAAAGAATAAATTATAATCTATAGACTTAAAATTGAACGAATTACTATTAGCCATCAACAAAGGAAGACACAAATTATGTTAAAATTTTAACAACTGCTGAAATAAGCTTTGGCAAGAAATTAAATCTCAGAGCTTGCATGAGATCAAAAAGGAAGTCAACGAACCAAATTCTGTTCTCAAATTTAATACGAAAGGACAATTTGTAATCAATAGACTTAGAATATTAGCAGAAAGGAAGACTGAAATGCATATCCTGCAAGCAGAACACGTTGAACATATTCACTGAATGCAATTGAGAGACATCAGTTGAACATCTCCAGCTCTATCAGAGATTTATTGCAGCCTGAAGAAGATATCAGAAGTTCCCCAAAGCAATTAACCTACTTCATCTAACACTAAGAAATAATCGATCCATACTACATGGAATAATAGTGATTAGAGTGAATTGATTGATTAAGTCATAATATAGAGTTATACATAGTAAATAATAAAATTGAAAAGAGCAATATATTTGGAAATTGCATTTTCAATACGGAACCAAATGTTCCTTTTAATAAAATATTTTTATTTTCCATTTCGCGTGTTGTTGACAAAGATAAAATATTTGACGTTAATAAAATATTTTTATTTCCCTCGTGGCGCCTCGCTACTACGATTCGCTTAAAGCGTGTCATCGAAATTTATCATTTGAATGGTTGCCGGCAATCTGATGGGCGAGGATTCTTGTCTGATATCCATACATCCCGGGTAGAAAGTTCGCCACTGCTATTCAATGCGGGGGAGAGATCAGTTGTCTGAACGTGAACTAGTGCCCGCCCCTGCGTGCGCAAGAACAGTCCTTTATTTATGCTAATTAATGCCAGCCGATTTGCATACGCGCGGAATCTCGCACACGGTTTTCCGCAAACAGCGATAGA